TGGACAGATGCTGAAGGGCCTTGTAGGTCACCGTGAGGGGCTCGAATTTTATTACCACGATAGTGGAAAGTCTTGTTCTGGACTCTTTTTTTTTTTTTGAGATGAAGTCTCACTCTGTAGCCCATGCTGGAGTGCAATGGCGTGATCTCGGCTCACTGCACCCTCTGCCTCCTGGGTTCAAGAGATTCTCCTGCCTCAGCCTCTAGAGTAGCTGGGATTATGGGATTGCAGGCATGTGCCACTGCACCCAGCTAACCTTTTGTACTTTTTTAGTAGAGATGGGGTTTCACCATGTTGGCCGGGCTGATCTTGAACTCCTGACCCCAGGTAATCCGCCCACCTCAGCCTCCCAAAGTGCTAGAATTACAGGTGTGAGCCACCACACCCAGCCTGAAATCTTTATTATTTTATTTTATTGAGAGACAGGGTCTCACTGTGTTGTCCAGGTTGGGGTGCAGTGGTGCCATCACAGCTCACTGCAGCCTCGACCTCCTGGACTCAAGTGATTCTCTCACCGCTGCCTCCTGAGTAGCTGGGACTACAGGCATGTGCGACCATGCCCGAATAATTTTTCTTTTTGGAGAGATGGGGTCTCACTATATTTCCCACTATATTGAACTCCTGGGCTCAAGCAATCCTGCCTTTTTTGAGATAGCGTCTCACCCTGTCGCCCAGGCTGGAGTGCAATGGCATGATCTCAGTTCACTGCAACCTCCACCTCCTGGGTTCAAGTGATTTTCCTGCCTCAGCCTCCTGAGTAGCTGGGATTACAGGTGCATGCCACAACGCCTGGCTAATTTTTGTATTTTCGGTAGAGAAGGGGTTTCATCATATTCAGGCTGCTCTCAAACTCCTGACGTCGTGATCCGCCCGCCTCAGCCTCCCAAAGTGCCGGGATTCCAGGCATGAACCACTGCACCCCACGAGAACTTTTAAGTTTTCTTATCTATAGGATGTTGCAATCATCATCATCTTTAAACATTAGACTTGGAATATTTATAGTCCTGCTATATAGCAGGACTATAAAGAATCATATATATATATATATGCATATATATACATATATATGACTCTGAGTCTCACTTTATTGCCCTGGCTGGAGTACAGTGGTACAATCTTGGGTCACTACAACCTCCAGCTCCTGGGTTCAAGTAATTCTCCTGCCTCAGCCAACCGAGTGGCTGGGCTAGAGGAGTGCACCACCATCCACCACACCCAGTTAATTTTTTTTTTTTTTTTTTTTTGAGATGGAGTCTCGTTCTGTCGCCCAGGCTGGAGTGCAGTGGGGAGATCTTGGCTCACTGCAACCTCCTCCTTGCGGGTTCAAGCAAGCAATTCTCTGCCACAGCCTCCCGACTGGCTGGGATTACAAACGCCCACCACCATGCCTGGCTAATTTTTGTATTTTTAGTAGAGACGAGGTTTCACCATCTTGGCCAGGCTGGTCTTGAACTCCTGACCTCGCGATCCACCCACCTCTGCCTCCCAAAGTGCTGGGATTACAGGCATGAGCCACCGTGCCCGGCCGATTAGTTTTTATATTTTTAGTAGAGATAGGATTTCACCATGCTTATTAGGCTGGTCTCAAACTCCTGACCTCAGGCGATCCACCTGCCTTGGCCACTGTGCCTGGTCAACATTCTTGCTATTTTTATTCTAGGCTGGAGACCTTTCTCTCAAGAACAAAATGAGAATGCTCCCTGGAGTCTGTACTGATCCCTCCTCCCTCTCACGGTACATTAGTTTTCTCCTTGCATTTAAAAAGACCTTTCTGGCTGGCACCCAGTGAATGAATTGTGGAGGAGGGGGAGAAGGAGAGAGGAAGCAGGTAGCTCAGTGGGGAGGCTACTGCAAAATCCTGGCAAGCAATGACAGTACCTTGGATCAGGGCTGGTGTCAGTTAGATCAGGGTGATAGGGAAAGGAGGAAATGGATACATTTGGAATGTATTTGGAGGTAGAGCCAGCAGGATTTGCTGACAAATTGGGTTTAAAGTCAAAGAGAGAAATCAAGGTTAACAAATGAATAAAAACAGATGTGGTCTCAGGCGAGTAGAGACATTATGCAAAGAGACTATTGCAACAGGGGGAAAGATGGCTGTAAAAACAATGAACAACACCAGAATCTGATAACCCAGAAGGATGTGTTGTCTAATGAAACTAATTTTTTCCCCTCCTCCTTTTTTTTTTTTTTTTTGAGATGGGGTTTTACTCTTGTTGCCCAAGCTGGAGTGCAATGGTGCGATCTCGGCTCACTGCAACCTCCGCCTCCCAGGTTCAAGCGATTCTCCTGCCTCAGCCTCCCAGGTAGCTGGGATTACGGGCATGCACCACCACACCTGGCTAATTTTGTATTTTTAGTAGAGGCAGGGTTTCACCATGTTAGCCAGGCTGGTCTCGAACTCCTGACCTCAGGTGATCTGCCCACCTCGGCCTCCCAAAGTGCTGGGATTACAAACATGAACCACCGTGCCCAGCCTCTCCTCCTATATTTTGCTGTCATCAGCAAGTGAAAAGATGATGATACCTTTTACAGAGGTAAGGAAGGAGATGAGAGAAAGTATTCCCAGATGGGGTGGGAAGCTGGTAGAGCCCATTTTGCAGGAGGAGGGGGAATCAGGAATTCTTTTGGATTCATGAAGTTTGAGATGTCTGTTAGTTCTCCCAGGGGTAGAACAGAGTGAGCAGATAGGCTCAAGGTTGGATTTGGGACGTCCTAGAAACCTTTCAGAACAAGGCAAAGGAGGAACTGAGAACTGGCATTTACTTCATAGCAACAGCATATGAGCCTCCCCACCCCTCCTCCTTCGGCTTCGGGGCACCCCTGGGTGTCAGAGGATAGAATCAATGCTACAGAAGACCGCAGTCAAGGATTCCCTAGACTCCAGGGAGCATTCTGCTATGCTCTTGAGGGAAAGGGCTCTGGACTAGAATAAAAATTGCAAGATTGAAGTCCGGGTGCAGTGGCTCATGCCTGTAATCCCAGCACTGTGGGAGGCCGAGGCAGGTAAATCGCCTGAGGTCAGGAGTTCGAGACCAGCCTGGCCAACATGGTGAAACCCCAACTCTACTAAAAATACAAAAGGTAGCTGGGAGTGATGGCGGGTGCTTGTAATCCCAGCTACTCAGGAGGCTGAGGCAGGAGAATCACATGAACCTGGGAGGTAGAGGTTGCAGTGAGCCAAGATCATGCCACTGCACTCTAGCCTGGGCAACATCGCGAGTCCCTGTCTCAAAAAAAAAAAAAAAAAAAATTGTGAAAATTCTAAGAGTCTAATATTTTAAAACTCCAGCATATGCATGTCAAAGCTCATCTAATTATACACTTAAGAGGTATGCATTTCATTGTATATAGGATACCTTGAGGAACAAAAAGTATCTGCAAACAAATACTGGGCTCTAGCTACTGATATGCATGCTGATGTATTTGGGAGTGAAGTGTACTGGTGTCTGCAACTGACTTTGAAACGCTTAAAACAAATCAATGAATAGATAGGTAAAATTAATAGATATGTAATGAAAAAAGGGCCGGGCACAGTGACTCATGCCTGTAATCCCAGCACTTTGGGAGGCTGAGGAGAGAAGATCACCTGAGGTCAGGAGTTTGAGACCAGCCTGGTCAACATGGCAAAACCCCATCTTTACTAAAAATACAAAAAATAGCCAGGCGTGGTGGTGCGCACCTGTAATCCCAGTGCTACTTGAGAGGCTGAGGCAGGAGAATTGCTTGAACCCGGGAGGCAGAGGTTGCAGAGATTGCATGCCATTGCACTCCACTCTGGGCAACAGAGTGAGACTCTATCTCAAACAAAAAACAAACAAACAAAAATAGAATAGGCAACAAAGAAAGGATAATAAAATGGTGGAATCTGATGGGTATACAGGTGCTCACTGTAGGTTTGAAATTTTAATATTTTTATAATAAAATATGAAATGAAAATGCAAAGCAAACAAAGTAACTGCTCGCTGAAAACCCCTCCAGACAGCTTCTATTTGCAATAGAAATAAAATGCAATCTTTTCCAAGACGTTGCAAGGAAGTCCCCTGCAGACCTCATGAATCTTGTCTCCTAAATTCAATCTTTGAAGATATAACAAATATTTATTGAGCGCCTACTGTGTGTCAGGCACTGCACTACATGCTGGGGATACAGCAGTGAACCAAACCTGCAATAATTCATGCACAAATGGCTCTAACATTCTTCCTTCTCAAGAAGCGCATTCCCCTGGCGGGCCTTCTTACTTCCTGAAATTGTCTTCATCTCGACTTCATCTGCATGTGGATATGAGCTTAGGAAGGTCAGAGCCCTTCTCTCCGTCGCTCATAGCTGCATCCTCGGGTCTAGAACAAAGTCTTGTTTACAGCAAGACCTCAATAACAATTAGTTGCAGAAATACTAGCTAACATCTATTTAGTGCTTGTTACATGTGCACCTGCGTCTGCTTTAAATTGTGTGCACAGATGTACTATTTAATTCTGAAAACTAGCCCCATTTTACAAGGCTAATAGAGGCACAGAGGAGTTAGGCTGTGAATTCATGCAGTCTGGCTTCAGCCATCACCGTCCTAACCGCTCTGCAAACTGCCTCTAAGTGAATGAATGAATGACTCAATCATTCTGACTCGCCCAAGTCGAAATCTTAACTCTGCCACTCAGCCGAGTTGACCTGGGACCAACCGATTTATCTCCCTGGACTTCAGATTGTTTATCCTTAAAGGTCAAGTCCTTCCTCTCGGTTCGTGAAGATGTAAGATGCTGGAGAAAATTGGCTCAAAGACACCCCATACACGCACGCACACACGAACCCACTCCCGAACAATGAATGAGGGAGGTAGAGCTGGGGAGGGTGGCGCGGGGTCAACGCCAGATGCAGGGTGTGGCAACCTCTAGGCGGCCAAAGTCTCTGGCTTCCAGGTTCTTCTGTTTGCTTCCTCCCTACCCGGGGGCCCAAGGCGCTGTCTCCGCCGCCCAAGCCCCGCGTAAATCTGGGTGACCTCCGAGACATCCGTTGGAGCATGAGCTCCCGACATCAGACGGCGGCGGTGGTCCGGGAGAAACCCGGCAGCGGGGAGATAAGCCTGCCCAGCACGCAGGGGGCTGGGCTAGCTGCCCCGCCCCGCGCCTGACTTTGCTGGGGAGGGAGACGCCCGGCTCCCGCCCCTAACTAGCCCAGCCGCGCGGAGCGCCTGGGAGAGGAGAAGGAGCCGACCTGCCGAGATGGAGGCGACCGGCACCTGGGCGCTGCTGCTGGCGCTGGCGCTGCTCCTGCTGCTGACGCTGGCGCTGTCTGGGACCCGGGCCCGAGGCCAGCTGCCCCCCGGGCCCACGCCGCTGCCACTGCTGGGAAACCTTCTGCAGCTACGGCCCGGAGCGCTGTACTCGGGGCTCATGCGGGTGAGGGGCCCAGGGGACGTCCTGGCTAAGGGCTGGGAGTCCCTGGGAGAGAAACGCGATTGCCAGGGCGAGGGGGTTTTCGGGTATCCTAGGGAGGAGGCAGGGGCAGGGGTCCCAAGGCAAAGGGGCTGCAGCTTTCCTGGGGTGGGGGCTGCAGCAGGTTGTCCAGGGCTGAGAACAGGAGAGGTGCCCGGGAGAGAGGATCGTGGGGTGGGGGACCAGGGCTAGGAGGGGCAGAGACCTCTGCCTACAGAATCCTGGGAAGGTGATGGGCAGGGACCGAGGCTGAGAGAGACAGGAGTCCTCCAGCCAAGGAGAAGCTGATGCGGCTGGGCTTGCCCCAGAGGGAGAGGTAGCTGGAGCCATACAGGTGGGGCATGCTGAAGAGGGCACAAAGAAGAAAAGGGGGAGGCGTCCCTGCGGGAGTTGGAGGCAAAGAGGCTGGAGGATTGCAGGCTCAGAGAGGGGGTCCCGCTGAAGGAATCTGTCTGCTCAGAATGCGGGATGGGAGGATGGGTGGAGCTCAGCTGGGAGGTCCTGGGAGAGGGGAGGGAAGGAGGGCAAGAAAGAAGGCAGAGGCAGCCCCAGCCTTAGGGGATAGCGGGTGGGAGTGGGAAGAGGCCTGAAGTTTCCCATTCAAAAGGATTCTGGGTGACTTCAACGACATAGAAAAAGGGGTGGGGTCGTGGGGGAAGAGATGGGGCAGATACTCAGCAGTGTCTGCTCTAGAATTTGAGGGTTTTGCGGTGACTGAAAAGGGTGGCTGGATATTTGGTGGGTAGGGGGGCCCTAAGGAATTAGGGGAGACCCAAACTGCTTCTGGATTGCCCAGTGTCAGAAGTTAAGGTTCAGCAGGAAGCAAGGGAATGACAGGAAGTTGGGGGATGCCACTGAAGGACGTACTGAGGGAGGAGGCCCGGGAGCCTAGTACAAAAAGAGAACTGAGCCTCAGCTATTTCTGCTGGGGTGGGGGCAGGTTCCTGGTAAAGGGTGTAGAAGCTAAACTCGGTGGCTCCTCCAGTGACAGGGGCCATGATGGAGACAACTTGGCTGGAAGAGGTCACAGCATCCTCTTCTTTCTTCCTCTCTGTGCCCAGCTGAGTAAGAAGTACGGACCGGTGTTCACCATCTACCTTGGACCCTGGCGGCCCGTGGTGGTCCTGGTTGGGCAGGAGGCTGTGCGAGAGGCCCTGGGAGGTCAGGCTGAAGAGTTCAGTGGCCGGGGAACCATAGCGATGCTGCAACGGACTTTTGATGGCCATGGTAAGTCAAGGGCTGCTAGGCCCTCCACTCACAGCCTGCCACCACTAACCGGTGTGTGACCTTTGCACATGGCTTAATGCCTGTTTCCTCATCTGTAAAATGGAGTGATAACAGTGCCCATCAGCTGGGAGGCAGTGGCTTATGCCTGAAATCCCAACACTTTGGGAGGCGGAGGTGGGTGGATCACTTGAGGTCAGGAGTTCGAGACCAGCCTGGCCAACATGGCGAAACCCTGTCTCTACTAAAAATATAAAAATGAGCTGGGCATGGTGGCGTGTACCTGTAATCTCAGATACTCAGGAGGCTGAGGCAGGAGAATCGCTTGAACCCGGGAGACAGAGGTTGCAGTGAGTCAAGATCATGCCACTGCACTCCAGTCTGGGCAACAGAGCGAGCCTCCATCTCAAACAAACGAACAAGCAAAAAGCAGTGCCCATCATGTAGGACTGAGTGATTGAGTGAGGACTGAGCCTTGTGCAGAGTGAGCACTCACTAATCACCAGGTTGTGGTATCAGTGATAACCATCAGTGATCCAGGTAAAGCCCTGAGGGTTCAGAAAGATTCCAGAGCGCTTTCAAGGTGCTGAGGATTGGTGGGTAAGCCCTCCAATGGTAGAGGCAGTTCTCTGTGTTACAACAGAAAGCAGGAGGCCCATGCTGGGTGCTGCCAGGAACTCAGCAGTGACTAAGACAGCACTGGTGCTGCTTCCCCAGAGCACCAAGGCCAGTGGGGAAACAGACTCACGACATGGTGCCAGCCCAGAGTGATCAGGGCCAAGACGGGGAAGCACAGGGGGAAAGGTCAGGGTGGGATGGGGAGGGGTCAGGGCAAGAGGGATCAGGGCCAGGCTGAAGGAAGCCCTAGGACTGTAGGAATTTAGAGGAGGTACCTGACCCAGCTCGTTTGGCGAGGGAGATTCAGAAAGTCTTCCTGGAAGAGAGGCTGTCAAAGCTGAGACTCATAAGATGAGTGGGGAGGGTGTTCCAGGCAGAAAGACCAGCACCTACAAAAGCATGACTTTGAGAGAAGCATTCATTCATTCAACTGGTGAATTTTCAGGCTGGGCATGGTGGCTCATGCCTGTAACCCCAGCACTTTGGGAGGCTGAATTGGGAGGATGACTTGAGCCTAGGTGTTTGAGACAAGCCTGGGCAACATGGTGAGACCCTGCCTCCACAAAACACAAACAAACATAAAAATGATCATTATGCCCGGTCCTATACTGAGTACCAGGTACACGGAGATGACTCAGACAGGTGTGGTGTCCTCTCCTACTGTGGGAGAGGCAGGCTTGTACTGCAGTAAGACAATAGAGGGAGGGAATATAATCCTAAAATGAGAGGGACAGATTTGAGAGCAAACACAGGGCACAGGCACCTGTACGAGGGTAAAGAGGGAATCAGGGAAGGCTTCTCAGAGGAGGTAGCATTTGAGCTGGGCCTTGAAGGATGAACGAATTAGTTCACCAAGGATGGGATGGAAGGGGGTGAGAGTGATGCAGGCAGAGGGAACTGCAGGATCCAGGCCTAGACAGGGGATCCTGACCCCTTTGAGGAAGTGAGAGACCAGTGCAGTCATAGTGGGCTAAGTAACAAAGCTGAGAAGCCAGGGAAATCCCTGGTCATGCGGGGCCTGTGAGTCATGCCAGAGTGTTTGGGCTTTTGTTTTTCCTGGGAGCAGTCGGTTTTAAGCAGGGAACAGCTGTAGTCACAGTTGGGAAGATCCTGTGGTTGCTGCCTGAAGGGGATGAAAATGGAGGCTAGGAGCCCAGGGTGATGGACCAGGGCTGGGGCCAGGGGATGGGGAGGAAGGAGTAATTGGGAGAGGCCTGGGGCTCTGGCCAGGGAATGGATGGTGGGCTGAAACAGAGAAAGGAGAGATGCTGAGATCACTTTGGAACACAGTGGGGCCAGGGCAGGAGATGCCCAAGGAGAGGTGCCCAAGAGGCCACGACAGGCTGGCGTTGGACAGAGAGGGTCTGTCTGGAACAAGTGTCTTGGATAAAGGAGGAAAACAGTACAGTTGCATCCTCCCTCTCTGTTCAACCTCCGAATTACATGGGGCACAGGACCCAGGACCCAGTGGGACTCCATAAATGATGGGATGGTTGGATGCAAGGAAAGAAGAAAGGAGGAAAGAACTCTTCATTCATCCTGGCTAATTACAGAACAGGCGAGGTGCGGTGCTCGCACCTGTCATCCTAGTACTTTGGGAGGCTGAGGCAGATGGATCACCTCAGGTCAGGAGTTCAAGACCAGCCTAGACAACATGGCAAAACCCCATCTCTACTAAAGATATAAAAATTAGCCGGGTGTAGTGGCCTAGGCCTGTAATCCTAGCTAGCTGGGAGACTGAGGCAGGAGAATCACTTGAACCCGGGAGGCAGAGGTTGCAATGAGCCGAGATCGTGCCATTGCACTCCAGCCTGGGTGACAGAGCAAGACCTCGTCTCAATAATAATAATAATTACAAAGCAGAACGAGCCTGGGTCATCCCAGCTACCTACTTTTCAGGAGAATGTACTCCCTTACCCAAGGGCGAAGGATGGGAGAACCAATTTGATTATGCATTTATTGAACACCTACTGAGTCCTCATCCCTGGGCTAGGCTGGAATGGACTCAGATGGAGCCTGAAGAGTCCCCCTCAGAGAACCTCACTAGAAAGAAGGGGGAATCAGCCGGTCGCGGCGGCTCACGCCTATAATCCCAACACTTTAGGAGGCTGAGGCGGGCAGATCACGAGGTCAGAAGATCGAGACCATCCTGGCTAACACAGTGAAACCCCATCTCCACTGAAAATACAATTAGTCGGGCATGGTGGCATGCACCTGTAGTTTCAGCTACTCAGGAGGCTGAGGCAGGAGAATTGCTTGAACCCGGGAGGCAGAGGTTGCAGTGAGACAAGATCACGCCACTGCACTCCAGCCTGGGCAACAGAGCGAGACTCTGTCTCAAAAAAAAAAAAAGAAAGAAAGAAAGAAGGGGAAATGGGCAGAGGGGCCGGTCCCTCTTTGAGTCTAGCCTTCTGCGCAGGAGTTTTCTTCTCCAACGGGGAGCGGTGGAGGCAGCTGAGGAAGTTTACCATGCTTGCTCTGCGGGACCTGGGCATGGGGAAGCGAGAAGGCGAGGAGCTGATCCAGGCGGAGGCCCGGTGTTTGGTGGAGGCATTCCAGGGGACAGAAGGTCAGCATGGCGGGGTCACCCCAGGGTCTCCAGCCGAGTGAAAGGGAAAACTCTCCTACTGTGGCTGGGGGTGGCCCCAACCCAGGTCCTGGAATGGGCGGGAGGGGAAGCCTTGGACTCTAGGGCTGGCCTGGGGGTTCTGTTCACCCCCGCCCTCTGTCTCTGTCCCACTGTCTCTCCAAGGCTGTCACGACATCTCTCTGTGTGTCCCTGGTGCTATCATCCCATTCTTCCTGGGTCTCCATCTCTCTCTCTGTCTCTTTTCTTTCTCTCTCCTTTCCTCTATTTCTCGGGCCCTAAGTCTATCTCTGTTTCTCTCTCCTTGTCCGTGTGATGGTCACTCAGTTTCTTTCTCCCTGTCTGTTTCTCTGTCCCTATCTGTCTGTCTCCTTCTTTGCCTGTTTAGCTCTCTCCCTGCACTGTCTGTCCATCTGTCTTTCCCTGCCTCCCTGTCTCTCTCTGGTTGGGTTCAGCCCCAACCTACTCCCCTCTGCCTGGCTCCATCACAGCCTACCTCCCTGCCCCCATTCCCCCCAGGACGCCCATTCGATCCCTCCCTGCTGCTGGCCCAGGCCACCTCCAACGTAGTCTGCTCCCTCCTCTTTGGCCTCCGCTTCTCCTATGAGGATAAGGAGTTCCAGGCCATGGTCCGGGCAGCTGGTGGTACCCTGCTGGGAGTCAGCTCCCGGGGGGGTCAGGTGAGTGGGTGGGACCCCTTTCCAACTACCTTCCCTGAAGGTTCCTGCCAAGGTCCCATGAGAACTAGCCGTCCTTCTCCCCACAGACCTATGAAATGTGTTCCTGGTTCCTGTGGCCCCTGCCAGGCCCCCACAAGCAGCTCCTCCACCACGTCAGCACCCTAGCTGCCTTCACAGTCCGGCAGGTGCAGCAGCACCAGGGGAACTTGGATGCTTCAGGTCCCGCACGTGACCTGGTCGATGCCTTCCTGTTGAAGATGGCACAGGTGCGGGAAGGGTGCAGGGACCCCCTCTCTGAATGGGTGTGGTAACCTGGTAGGTCCCCAGCCAGGTGTCCCTGGGGACCTCGACTGAGTCCCTCTCTCTTTCTCTCTCTGCATGTGTCTGTGAGTATGAGTGTCTGTGTGTGTGTGCGTCCCTTCTCTGCACATCTCTGTCTCTTTCAGGGAGTTGCTCTCACTGCCTCTCCCGCCCCCAACCTGGGCATTTGTGCCGGGCTCTGTCTCTCCAGCATTTCTCCTCTTTCTCCCTCCCACCTCGGCCCTTGTGTTCAGGCCCCATGCCCAGGGTCCCACACCATCAATCCCCAGGATCACTTCATCCCACCCCCTGCAGCCTCCCCAGACTTTTATGTAAATTCACAATTTTATGTGAATTATGGTGGTTTATTAGGAAGCCTTGCAATATCAATTTATGTTAGTAAAGTCCACTTTATTAATTATATGAGAACAATATTTCTTTTTCTTTTTTCTTT